TAGGTAAAGGGATAAAATATGGATTTATATTAAATTCTTGTAAACTAATTTATTAAAGATTGATGACAATAGTTAAGATTATATATATATATATACATATATATAAAGGTAAGGAGATACTGAAAGGAAAGTGAAAATATGAAAGTTTAGTTTTTCAAGAAAACAAAAAGAAAAATTTAAGATCAAATAAAATAAATATTAAATTAACACGTTTCTAGTTTCTTAACAAGAAACGTTTTGAAAATTATGTAGAAATATGAGAATGATAAAATAAGTTTCTTGTTTTTTTTTCTCGTTTCTAATTTTTTTTTCAAAACATAAATAACAGAAATATTTTATATTCTTGACTTAAAATATATAATAAATATTTTTAAAATATAAAATGAAAATTTTTTAATATTTAATTTAAATTATTTTTAATATAAAACTCTTACATTTTTATTTAAAATTATAGACGACATCAAATAATAAATAGTTATCAAATATGTTTTTATTTTTTTTAATAAAAAAATAAAAGAATAAGAAACAATTATGAAACGCGGTTCTATTTTTTTTATTAGAAAGGAAGAAACAACAAATCAAAGAAATATTAAACATTACCGAGCCTTAACATTTTCTTTTCTTTCTAATTTTTGCCCTTTGATTGTTTTTCCTTTTGATAACATCCTAGTTTATTTGGCTCTATAATATTTTTATCCTCTCTGTAAAAATTCCATGCTCTATCTTAGGTGAACATCTAACCTTTTTTAAATTAAAGTGACGACTTAGTTAGGCTCGTCAAATAAATGTGACGTGATAATTAGTTGTAAATTTATTTTAAAATTTCTTTTGATATTGGAAGCTTAAATATATGAAAATATTAACACGTATTTAATATCTTTAGGGCTCATAGTTTGCTCCTTAAATAAAATAAACTAAAGCAATTTCCATTCATTTTCTAATGTCAAAAACAAAAAAAATCTCCATTCATTTTGGGAGGAATTGATAAAAACACAAGATTGCCAATTTTCTTTTCATTAAAAATTTAGCTTCAAATTTTGACGTGGTTAGTTTTATAATATTACATCACAAATATTAAGATAAAGATTTGATCAACCTCCAAACTTTAGTAACCAGATATAAATGTTTGTACCTTTAAAGTATATTTAAGTTAGCAATGATGGGTCATTATTGATCGCTATATAATTAGGGTGATATATGAAATCGTAATTACTATTGTCAAAATAATAAAGAAGTCTGAACAAAAGAATGATATGGAAAGTAACAAATAAAATAGAATTATCAATAGATTTGAAAACAAATAAATGATCAATATAGTTGTCTCAATGAGTAATGATGATAGACACTAGTTGATTTAATAACATAATTTGGAGTAGTAGTTTGGACTTACTGAGAATGATAGGCGATTTTTTTGCTTTGTTGATGGTCGATAGAGAACAAGATCGAATATCTTGAAAATGTACTTCTTTTGGAAAAGAAAACACTTGCATAATGAGAAGACTAGCTCAAAACTTTTCTTATATAGATCCCGGATTTGAAATAAAATTTAAAAATGGTTGAATTAAAAGATAAAAGAAGATATTTCAAGACTCTATCATCTTTTGAGGCAGCGATCTAATTGAGATAAGAGATTGGACCATTTATACTTTTATATTTCTCTTTTTTATAAGATCTACGTTCTTCTTTAAATCCAAACATGTCTGGTTAAAAATCTTCTTGAATTGAATTCTTTAAGACCCTATGGAATGAATAGAAGATGATCTAAACTTAAAAATATAAAAAATTAGCTTTTTTGTTTCTTTTTTAGTAGTAACATGTTGGGGGATTCGAACTCACAATTTTTTGGTTGAAGGTATACGCCAATTACCGTTAAGCTATGCTCGCTTTGACTATATTTGTTTCCTTAAAAATATAAAAAATTAACTTTTTTGTTTCCTTTGGTCCCCTCTACCTCAATATTATATTAATTTCTTTTCCATTGGTCCCCTCTACCTCTCCTCTCTTTTGTCACATCTTATGATAAACTGTAACCTATATAGTAAGAAAGGTTGTATTATATTAAACTTGGATTTATGTACTATGAATTGATGTATTTTATAGAATTAGCAAATCCACGTACTACTTAAATACAGACTCAATACTTATCAATCCCAAGTTACATTAACTTAATATGTGGGCTAAATACCCTCTAATTATAAGATTGATGATAGGATTTTTTTATTTATTTATAATAATGTTTTATTTTAAATTTATTCCATATATCAACCTCCAAACTATTTCAAAAAATAATGCTTAGAAAATTATAGTTCGTCTTTTCAAGAGACGATCTATGCCACTTCACAATTTTCGAGTTGCATGGCGCATTGTTGGCGCCATGTATTTTTTTTTAATTATGATATATTGTCCCTTCAAGAGACGACATGTGACAAAAATGTACAAAATTACTACTTCGATATAGTGGTGGTATTCTTGCTTTTCCAATCTAGAGGTTTAGGGTTTAAGTCCAGCATTGCACCATGCAGCTCAAAAATTTTATTTAAAGAAAGTTATTAACTTTATGCTTAAAAGTATATTTTGATAGGATTCTTATACTTATTAAATGTGGTCCTTGTTTCAAAAAAAAAAAGTTAAATGTGGTCCTTAAAGGTTTTTCAAGTTCTAATTTTTTTTTTCCTTTGTCATCGAACTTTACATATAGAAAATCATTAAATTTATCTTTAAATAGTTGATTTGTACTCATTAACTCTCATTATTCTTTTTTTTTTTTTTTACTCTTGGTTAGTTTCATAATGTTTTATCTAGTTAATCAACTATATTAAAATTGACCTACAATTTTAAATTTTAAATTTTAAAATTATCAAAAAAAAGTTGTGAGTTGGATCTTTTCACACGTTGTTAAAATAATAATAATAATAATAATAATAATAATAATAATAATATTATGAGATGCGAGGAAGTCCAATAATGTATGGGGGCAAATAATCATCCTAAATTTATGTGGCAACTTGAATCTGAACTTATCAATAAAATTCAATTGAAAATAAAACGTGCCATAATATTTATTTGATAAATCATTTTGTAAATTGACATTTTTGCCTTTTGCAATAAAGTTAGCAAGAAAAAGCTGCAGCGATAAAACATGCCGCATACCGTCTCTGTCAACTTCAATTATTTGTGAGGTAGGTTTGGAGTGATAATGACTGGATGCTGTAAATATAAATATGATTCAACGATAATTATCATCTATTTGTTTCTTCAAAGTTGGAGGTTCGAACTCTCATATCTCAAATTTTTAGTATTAAAAAAAAGACAATGACAAAACGTTTTAAATACTAAAAAAATGAAAACTCTCATTGAAAAGAAAAAAATCTGTTAAATTATGAATTATAAGAACAAAATTGAAGAAATTTAACTTAATTCTAAGAATTAAATTAAAGCATTTAAAATCATAGGAGCCTTCATATTTTCCTCAAGGATACATACAACAGCAAAATATAATGCGAAAGAATAGACACATATTATTAGAAGCCTCAGTAAAAAAGTACTGCAAACCGTGTAAGTTCTTAAAGATAAATAATTAAATGTTATGGAAAGATTGAATCTTCATTCCGGAAGGGAAGTAATAGATATTTTATTTATTGAGTTAGGTTCCAATCAACAATTGAATTAAATAGCTTAAATCTTTTACTCACGATTCAAATTATTATTCATTAGAGGATGAAATCGTTCGAAAAACCATATGATATCAGAGTCCAAAACGCTCAAACAAGCATCCGGTTTAAAAATGGGATCCGACCGAGATAGATAAACCAAAAAAGCTACGAGATACTTGCTTCAACCTGTAAATAAGTTTGTGCAAGATGATAAAGTAATAACTCTACCATCGAAATATGCTCGTTTCGTCTTAAAAAAAGTTTGGTAGTTAGTTATTTGATATCAAAGCCTTTTACATATAAAATTTTCAATGAAAATGTTGACGCATTTTTAATAATCCGGGCTCATAGGTAGTTTGGTCCTTAAATAAAATAAACTAAATCAATTAGACCAGGTCTTTTACGAAGACAATATTGTTTTTTAATCATCCTTTTTAGAAATCATGTTTTCTAGGTTCTGACGTCACTTTATTGTCAATTTACTTTCACTATCCCTCCATTCATTTTTTAGATTCTTTTTTTTTTTTAAAACATCAACAAAACTTGACTTTCTCTATAAACATGTTGGCAAAAACTCATTTTGAAACCTAAAAAAATTATCAAAATCAAACAAAAACTCAATTTCATAGACATATTTTCTCTCTCTAAAAATAGGATTTCATTGATTTAGTGTTCCCTCTCTCTCTTCTTCCAATCTCCCATAAACACACTTTCTCTCTCTAAAAATAGTATTTTAGGAGGGTTTAATGTTCCCTCTCTCTTCCTCCGATCTCCTCTCTCTGCAGGTCACGCATTCTCCTCCCTCTCACGCAGCATCTCCTCTCTCACTCCCTCTTCCTCCCCGCCACTATCCTTTCCGATCTTGTTCCGACGACCGAGCGAGAGCCAGATCCATGGAGGCGAGAGTTTATGAAAATTTTCCTCTAGCTTATTTACTTTTCAACCACCACAATGTAACTCAAGTTTTTTACTGCAGATAAATAAATAATGTGAATTATTTTAATAATTTTTGGACTACTCTTTTTTTATTAATACTCATTTTCGTTTCCATAAAATTTAATTTCTTGGCGTTATATATTTTACTTTCTCCATTTTATTGGTACGGTAACTATGTGATATATATTTGGATATTCCTTTATATTTTCATATAATTTTAATTTTTACTTGATTTTTTCCAAATATACTACCTTATTCGTGAGAATTATAATCTATGTCCCTTAAAGAAAAATGAGAGACGTTACAATTCGCTCAATTTAATACTCACAAATGAGGTATAGTATGAGCACTTTAATTTCAATAATTGCGTAAAAAGAGAACATGTCAGTTCAACCATAGATAAAACCACTTTATTGATGTTGTATTTTTGAATGAGTCGAGATTCACAGTGAATTTGTTTTGACCAAGCTACATAGATTAAGCTATGCAATAAAGACCTACATGCAATGAATAAACACTATGACGCTGAAGTCATTCTAAAATTCGATCTATATAAGTTAGTTCTAGACAGAATCACATACCTACGTATGAGAGTGACTGGATATGTATGGGAGTGGGGAGAGATCGTTTTGTTACAACCGTTACAGAGGTTGGTACACGATTGTAACTAGTTTCGTCTCATAGTTCGGCCATTGCGCCAACATTTACATTCTACGGAGGAGAAAGCTATATAGTTTAGTATATTCTATAAAATAGACCATCCCTCAAGTATCGAGCTATGAAGTTTAGTACTAGAAGGTACGTTGTCGATTGGATGAAATGGATGAGGTGAGATCATTCATTTTAATTGGTCCATGTGAAAGACCATATTTTACCCTCCAAGACACTCATTTTCATTGTTTCTGACTTAAATGAAAAAGAAAAGGAGAAACAAATGCATATCGAAAACTTTCAACCGGTTCAATTAACCACAACTATACCACTCATTCTTATTCAATTTCATCTAAGACCAAGCAATTCTTTAACCTAATCAAGGATTTAGTTTGATTTAGCTCAATTTATTGCATCGGTCTCTAATTTTCCTTCATCCATAATATTGAATTTAACAAATAAATACCTTTATTACTTTTTTAAGTCCATAAAAATAAAAAAGTAAAATGCTAAAAAAGAATAGATTTGAAACTAAGGGGAGTTAGTTACTAAAAATGAATTTCTTACCAACTTTTATGACCACATATAGTAAAATCAGACGGTTGTCCTTTAAAATTAGTAAAGAATTAGGAAACAAATAAACAAGCCATGGCTCTACCATTGCCTTCATTGAATACAAATTACAGATGAAACCAGAAAATCATTCAAGATTACAAAGCATACTCTGCAGATAAGCTTTATTTATTACTCTGCAGTGAGCATGAAAATACAGAGTTATACTGCATTCACTCTCTTATATAGTACCTCTAAAACAACAACGATTTATAATCAATCTTCTTCCAATTGAGAGATGATGCTGGCAAAAACCTTGTAGCCATTGGCCATATCCTTATAAAGACAGTACTCATTTTCAGCATGGTATGCATCCGTTAAACCTGCATA